TATTTATTATAATGAATGAGCTTGGTAACAATGTTTATTTATTTAATGAATTATTCTTCTGGGTGTGTTATTTTAATTTATTGTATTAATATATTTTGATTGTTATAGTCGTGTTCTGATAATTAAAGTCATAAGTTAGTAACTATAAATAAATATTATTTAATTGAAAGTAGTATGTAATGAAGTGATAAAATTATATATTATTTTCAATACCTTATAATAGCATTAATAAAATTGATAGTTGTATTGAAAATCATAACAATTCAATTAAAAAAAAAACAAATGTATATATACTATAATTAAAATTTAAAGTAAAGAGAAATATTTACTTTTTCATTATGATGTCAATCATTTAATATCTATCAAAATATAACAAAAAGAAATATATTGTTTTATTCAATAATTATCTTAAATCAATGATTTGATAAATATCATTAAAACATTTAAACAAACAAAACATATTGTTAATGAACATAATTTTAAATTAAAACATTATATTCAAATAATTATTTAAATGAATAATAAATAAATAAAAACATTATCTCTAATGAAACGAATAAAATACTGAATTAATAGTATGAAAAATGAATAAATTATAGAAAGGTGAACAATCCTACAACTTGAACAAACCGCGCAATTACACTTTTTTATTCTAAGAACATTTTAATTTCAACTTTATGTACATTCTTATTTATAGTACATTTTTCTTATTTTATTTTTATTTTTTTGTAAATAACATTTTCTATATTATAGTAAATATTTTACTATTCTTTTTTCCTTTTTTTTTTTCTAAATTTATTTTTTTTCTCCTATTTTTCTTCACACATCTTTTTCTTCTTTATTTTCTTATTGAATGTTCAACTATTTCATTTATCACACATTTCCCTATATAGTCTTTAGTGTCTTGAATATATTCTGTATCATCTCTTTCTATTTTTCTTATTTTCTTTTTTTTGAAAAAATTCAATTTTCTGATTTATACTATAAAGTCTATATCTATTCTTTATATTTACTCTAGTATAGTAGAACAGCATTTTTATATTAATTTCTTATGATGATATATAATTAGTATGTTATATAAATTAGATTCTATCTTTATTTTTACTATTTTCTTATAATTCATTATTGTATTCAACATTAATCAATAAAGAAAATAAGTCTTTATAATATATAGTTTGGAATATTTATAGTTTAAAAAGAAATTAAATGAGAAGAAATATATGAGATAATAATACGATTTAATGTATAAGATTTCAATTATTCGATTAACAATGTCTTTGATTCATTTAGCTATCTCAACTCTCTACATATCATTTAATTTCGAATTATTTATTATTTCATAATATCTATGTTCAAAAAGAGAAAGGGTAAGAAGTGTTATTAATAGGTTGATCAACAGAAAAGATTTGGAATATCATCAATAAGTGAAGAAGCACATATTAGATTGTTCGAGTTTATCAAAACAATGTAAGTGAATAAATAAACCACACTAACAATAATTGATCTCAAATATTATTCATTTGACTTGGTTCTATATGATATATCATCAAAAGATCTTTAGTGATTATATTAGAAAGGCAATGAAAAAAGTAAATAAGAGAAAAATGAAGAGAAAGAATGATATAAAAGAAAAAAGTGAAATTAGGAAGTAGATGAAGATGAAGAGAATAAAAGTAGAAATTTGAGGATATAAAAAGGAATAATTTAAAATGAGATAATAAAAGATGAAAAGGAAGATGGAATAATGGATGCATTTTTTATTATAGAAATTAGAAATATCTAATAAAAAAGCGTTTAATTTATTGATACAAAATAATTAACAATATTTTATTTATGCATAGTATTTTATTCTTTTTTCTATGATTTTTATTTATATGTATTATTTATTATTAGTGTTTATTATATAGCCATTTATAGATATTATATGATTAGTATATAATATGTAATATATGATAAATATTAAATATTAATTTCATATGATAGAGTTAGAAAATAGAAAAAAATAAATGGATAATAATAAATAATAAAGAAATAATAAGAGAAAAGAAATGATATAATAATAAATAAAATATATAAATAAAATAATAAATAAAATAAATATAATATAAATAAAATAATAATAATAATAATAAATATAAAGAGAAATTTGATATAAATTATAAAAATATAATCAAAATGAAAATAAGATAATGAAATGTATTCATATATAAGAAAATATATATAAATAGAAATATATGAATTTAAAGAAAATATAAATAATAAGAATATCAAACTAATAAAATATGGTATATATATAAAAAATATATAGATAATATGATGATATATATAAATAAGAATAAAAATAAAAATAAATATAATAATAAAATATAT